ATGTCATTAATCTTAATAATATAATTTAAGAAATCAATCTTCTACATGTAGAACAAGCATTTTTCAGTGTTTATATAGAGTTGATACTGTCTTAAGTAACTTAATACTTCTTGAATATGAGTATCATGTTCTTTCTTCATTTTTAAGAAGATTAGAATGTTATTTAAGTATACTATACAGAAGACATTGATAAGACTCTACAGTATCTCATTTATATAGATTTAAAAGATGACTGAAGTGTTATAAAGCTTAAAAGATAAAACAAGATATTCAAAGTTGTCATACTTGATATAAAAAGCTGTTTTTCAAATATCATCTTTATTAACTCTGATTCTATAATAGATATTCTGTATATTAGTCTTTGAGAACATCTTTGCTTCAGATAATTAATTGATTATCTTATTAATTAATAGTAATAAATAGTAATTCTTAATCATCATCTTATTAAGATCTCTGTAGTCTATATATAGACATAGTCTACTATTCTTCTTAAGTATAAAGAGTATGAGTCTCTCTGCTGAACTCTTTAATGAGTATATTCAGTTGTTCAATTACACTTTCTTAAGATATTTATACAGAACATTCAATTTCTTTACTGATAAGTTATAAAGAGATCTGTACAGTGCTATTACATTATCTTTAAGATAAATCTTATATTATATCTTAATATCAGGAAACTTCACTGCTTTTCTTTCTGAAAAGATATTTGTATAATCTGTAAAGAGATATTGTATTCATTTAACTTCAATAACAGATACTGCTGCTAATCTCATAGTGAGAGTGATGATTTATTCATCTATTCTCAAGTCTCAGTCATCTGCTATACAGTATATTAACTCTATCTTTTTCTCAAGATTCTTCTGATAAAACTCTTTGAGTTTCTCTATCACTATCTCTTCATTAGTGAGACAGTACTGTCATATTGAAGTAACTCAGTTAATAAGAGAATTATTTTCTCTCAATTATAAAAGATCTAGAATGATATTCTCATCTATAATATCAATAGTATGAAGAAGCAGACTGCTCTTCTTAAAGATTTCTTCTAAGTCTATAATCACACACTTTACTTGAATTATGCTAAAATGATAGTATTTTATTTCATCAGTAAATTTCATATAATCTGACAGATCTATCTTCTTTCAATTCTTCATTAAAGAAAAGAAATAGAGTATGAAGTTAGTATTCACTCTAAAGTTAAGTAGACATCTCACTAATATCTTCTTATTCAGAGTATTCATTGTGATTATAATATAGACTCAGAGATATGAGAATTATCACTTCTTTATTTCTTTCTCTTCTTTATCTTCTATGAATACATTTATTAGAAGAGAAGTTAACTTTAAGAAGATATCTTCTCAGTTTCTTCTCTTCTTTGACTTCTTATAATTACTAGTATAGTGATCATCAGCTTCACAGTTAAAGCAGAGATTTTTATCAAATCTTTTTTACTATTTCTTCATAGTGAGTGAAGAATCAGAATACTTAAAATTCTTCTTTATATTCTCTACACTGAAGCTGTCACAGCATTATTTAGATCTTATTATTAATTACTTAGAAAAGATCTTATTAATCTTTTTCTCAGAGTATTAATTATTCAAATAGATCTGAGAAGTCAAGTTGACAAGCTCAGTGCAATTAATTGATAAACTCTGATACTATGATATTATGATTGACTTCTTATAAGTCAGCTTTGTGAGATAAAGATGTGTTTTTAATTAATTTAATTATTCATTAATTTCTTTCATATTCTTTAATCTGTATTGAAATATAGATCTATTATTTCATTATATATAGTAATCACTGTACTGCTG